TTACCGTGATATATCGCATTACCGAATACCGGCATATGTCTTATATATATATATATATATATACATCTGTGTTGTGTACCCTGTATGGTAGCTGTATGTTTATTATGATGACGGAATGTGTTTCATGTTTTCAGAGAGGCAAACTGGAATTATTGTGACTAATTTGACAAATTTCACCAGCAAAAAAATATATTTACAATTAATAAATACTAAATGGGTGAAGTTTACACAATGTGTGGTATTTGAAACCTGAAATCAGTCACGTCCCTGACAAGCTCTCCCTGGAGAACCAACGGCATGACGTTACTTTACAAACCTTCAAAAATGATAAGCAAGGTGAAAATGAGGAGGACTATGATGATGATGAATGGCATTGGAATGAATCAGGAGGAGGAGACTTCACAAAGCGCTACACTGCAATGAGGGCTGGGAATAATCCACAGGTATTCGTTAAAGAAAGATCGTGACCACAAGGCCAATGTTGACAACAAACCTGTGCCCATATTCACAAAATATTTTATCTTACCACTAAGAGTTCTCCTAAATAGCAGTAAAAGTTTTTAGCAAAGAGATTTCTCTTAAAACCTATTCACAAAGCTGCTGAGACAAACTTTTACTAAGGAATAGAGAGAAGTCTTAAGCTAAGAGTATAGAGTAAGGGGGCGGGGTTGACCTTGCTGCTATGGATGATGTCAGCATGCTTATTAACTATGCACACAGTGATTGGCTGATCTGTCAGAGATTTATTTATAGAACTATTGTAGAGTGCAATATTATGTTGCATTATTCAAATAAAGGTTAAAAAATAAAAATGTTAATTTATTTAATTTTAATTTAAACTTTATTAACCAGGAAATTAAACTCCTGAGATTTAAAATCTGTTTTACATATACAGAAGTATACACAAGTCACTCAAAGCATTTACAATCAAATGACTCTGAAACTAGATCCTTTAAAATACATTTAAAATCAGTTGTTGATACCAACTCTTTTAAGCATAACCTATCTTGTAATTGATATCAATCAAATGGAGCGGCATAACTAAATGCCTGTTGGCCCATATTAGTACGAACTTTAGGGATGCTTAAAAGATGATAGTCTTGTGAGCGAAGACCATAATTCTTTACAACTTTTTGAATGATATTCTGCTGTAAATGCGAAGGAAGTAAACCTAAAATTATTTTATATATAAATAAGTACCAATGCTGGATGACAACGCCGGCCAACCAACCCGAGATTATTTGCCACATTCAAATAAAGATTTTAAAATGCAGGCTGAGTGTTACTAATTAAACAAGTATATGTTCAGCTAATTGTGTGCCTCTTACCTGTATGCTTCTCTTGTTTAGTGAATATACATATAAAGCCTTTTAATTAACAGAGTAGAATAATCATGGCTGATAGTAAGACATGCAAACGTAAAAGAAAACCAAACTGGACACAAGCACAGCTGTTACTTCTTGCCCAACTGATTAATGAAAACAAGAACATAATCAAAGGAACATTTGGAATTGGGATAACCTCCAAAACGAAAGGTGATTTATAAAAGCTTGTCATCGTCAAATATTTCTCAAATGTTTACATGCAACAGCCATTTTAGGATAGTTTGTGGCTTGGTCTTTAGTGACTAGGAGTCCTCTTCACTACTCCTAATGTTTCACAGATTTAGGAGCTAGTTTTAGTGCTAAAACACTTTGAGAAATACTTTTAGAGCAAAAAGTTTGGAGTCCTAAGTTTAGGACTGACGCCCATTTTGAAGATTTTCTTCTAAATTCGGTGAGTTATGAGCTACTTTTAGCCTTAGGAGGCTTTGTGAATACGGGCCCTGGTGGGGGGGGTCAGGTTTTTTTTTTTCTGGACTCCTTTTTAATGGTTAAATAAAATTTT